TTTTTATGGCGTTATTTGGCCAGCTTAAATATATCTCTATCATTTTTTGCGTTTTCTAGTGGTTGGTAGTACTTTTTTCTGGATTCATTTCTTTGCTTCGCTACTTTATACTTTGCCAGCTTTTTAGCGGTTTTGTATTGTATACGATCGTCGTCCAAACCTGAGCTCTGCCACCGTTTGAAGAACAATTTTTTGTTTCTCAATGCGGCCTTTACTTTTTCATTCCACTATGAAGGATCTTTGTTATTATGCAGCTTGCCTCGCGATATTCCTAGGTATTTTCTGGCTGAATTTCTGCATAGTTTTTCAAATTTAGACCATATATTCTCCGCAGAGATATTAGCGCCATTTTTCATATCTTCGATAAGTATATCGCGTATCTCTTCTAATAAATTTGACTCCTTTTTCTGTGTTTAGCAAATGCCACTTAATTTTGGAGATTTTGACCATGGTGTGTTTTATTGGCTTAATTAGCGATATACAGCCGACCAAGATTCTGTGCTGTGAAGACCTTGCAGTCTCTGAATGTTCTTAGTAATTGTCGGTTTGTGAGGATATAGTCGATTTGAGATTGTTTGTTTCCGCTTTTATACGTGATTAAGTGTTCCGGTTTTTTATTAAAGAAGGTATTGACCATTGCTAGATGATGTCTCTTGCAGAATTCCAGTATTTGTTCGCCGCCTTTGTTGAGTGTGCCATAACCAAACCCTCCTTGTATCTCCTTATACGTCGCGTTACTGGGACCAACATGGCCGTTTAGGTCTCCTCCAATATATCTTAGTTCGACAGGTGTCATTGACATTAGTAAGTCATCAAACTCATCCCAGAAAGCTTCTTTCTCACTTTCGCTACATCCGGCCTGTGGTACGTATGCCGAGATTATGTTCAAGGCGGGTTGGTTATTTTTTATTGACTTAATTACTGATGGCCAATCTCACTGCCATAAGTCGATCGTTCCTTCTATCTATGTCAATAATGCGTTGTTTGAGGTTTTCATCCAAGACGATGGCAACTCCGTTACGCATATTGGTATTGCCACAGTATAAGAGCTGGTATCCGAGTCCCAGATCTCGTGACTTCGACCCCTTCCACTTGGTCTCTTGTAAGCAGCATATGTTAATTTTTCGCGCCTGTAGTACTTTTGCCAGCTCTTGACTCCTTCCTGTTAGTGTGCCCAAATTCCACGTGGCTAATCTTATTTTAGATTGTTTTAAAATATGCGAATTTTTGTTCTTGTCATATCCGTCGCTTACGGAGGACGCCCTAACATATTCTTCATTGTTCGCATATTTCGCATTTCTATCGTTGACGTCGCTTCTGGGGTACGCCCTAGCTGTATTCACTTTCTTTGTAATAACTTTTTTCATATTTACGAGGAGAAGAGAAGTTTGACTGTAGTTTTACGGCCGGTTGTCACCTGACGCCAAGACTGTACATTACTTCCAAGGTATGGGCGCTGCCGTTTACCCTTTCATGGGTTCTTCCGCCACCATCCCTACTGAGCATTTCAGCCGAAATGCTCAGCACTGCATAGACCTCACTATCAAATATGTCGATGTGGCTCTCTGTAGGGGTTTGATACGGAGTGTCCATCTCCGGCCTGTTGGTCCGCGGGGGCTATTTTATTTCACCCCAACCCTCTAGACGCTCCTTATGGAGCGCCCAGCGAGCTTTCCCCTATCCGCCACCTGGGGACGCGTTCTCTAGGGATCAGGCTCCCCCGAGAAGCGTAGAAGTAACAACAAAGCTAATTATAATATTTATCCAATATACACTGATGAAAGTGACGTTGATATCAGTGATGATGATCCTACTATAGATTTTAATACGATATTGGATAGGCCTTTCAGAAGAAAAAAAATTTTGTTTGGGGAACCAACTTCCGATTCCTCCGATTCTAACAATACTATAGAAAAAATTAGTCGCAGGAGCCGAAAGCAGTCAAGAAATATTAATAAATGGCAGCAAATTAAATCAAAACGGCTCAGAAATACAGGAGAATCTTATGTTTCGATGTCAGAATCACGTAAAAGGATTCCAGCACGCTATATAAAAGATGGGTGTACAGAAAAATGTAAATTAAAATGTTCAATAAATATAACTTCAGAAAGTAGATTCAAACTCTTTAGTAACTTTTGGGATCTAGGTAACTTAGTTGCCCAGAGGGCTTATATTCGAACATGTATGGTAGATGTGACTCCAAAATACAAATATACTAACGCTGAACATCCTAGGCGTCCTTACAAAGCCTTCTATTTTACTGTTAATGACCAATGCATTAGGGTATGTAAGACTTTCGTCTTATGTCAATTTCGGAACGAATGGTTTACACTGTCCAATCTTAAATGAAGATGGTTTCGCGATGAATGAGTTACGAGGTAAACACAATAACCATAAAAAGCTTAATCCAGACCTACTAGATGATATAAGAAAACATATTAATATGATACCAAAAGTAGAATCACATTATGTAAGACCCTGAACTTCAAAACAGTACATTGGTGGTGATAAAACAATAAAAGATTTATATAACGATTTTGTTTCGCAGCAAATTCAGTCCAACAAGAACACAGGTAATTATATATGTCATATTTGTAAAATTTTTACGAATGAATTTAACTTAGGGTTCCACCAGCCAAAGAAAGATCAGTGTGATCTATGTGTTTCGTACAATAATTCAAATAATTAAAAAAAAGAATTAGAATACCAATATCAGAAGCATTTAGAAGAGAAGGCTTTAAGTCGTCGAGACAAACAAGCTGATCGTCAAAACGTTACAAAAATAACAAAGTCGCAGTTTACGATTTAAAAGCTGTATTACAATGTCCAAGAGGCGACACAGCAGCTTTCTATTATAAGTCCCAAGTTAAATAATTACAATTTGACTGTAACAGAATTGTTAAGCGGAGAAAAGAAAGCTTACGAAAATGTACACTGTTACTTCTGGACTGAGGTTGATGCCAAACGAGGTGCAAATGAAATAGGGTCATGTGTATGGGAATATTTAAAAAATGTGTGTGCGGAAGACACAGAACCGAAACAGATTACATTTTACTCAGATAACTGTAGTGGGCAGAACAAAAAATATAATAACAATAAAAATAACAATAAAAAATAAATACATAGCAACCTTATACTTATACGCTGTAACTCATTTAAATATAACCAGCATAACACGTAAGTTTTTAATAAGGGGACACACTCAAAGCGAAGCGGATAGCGTTCACAGCTTAATAGAAAGAGAAGTAAAGAAAAACTTAAAATCCGGTCCAATATACAGTCCCGATCAATATGTCACACTAATAAAAAATGCAAAAAAAGCAACCCGCCGATTAACGTACATGAATTAACATTCGACTCATTTATGGACTATAAGGCCTTTCAAGAAGAATGGGGATATAATTATAATATTGACAGAGACGGAAGTACTGTAAACTGGAATGATATAAAGGTTTTAAGAATGGTGAAATCATAACCTCTCAGCTTTTATTATAAAACTTCATATAATGATAACACTTTTAAACAAGTTGACGTTAGAAATAAAAGAAAGAAAATGATCAATATATCCGAAATTTCTTTAAATCAAGCATATAGAGAAAAACTACAACTGAGTGATAATAAAAAAAATTATAATTCAATAATTTAATTATGATTCCATTTCCCATTTTTTACTATAATTTAATTAAATCATTAAAATATTGAGTAGGTAGACGATAGTGATTGTAAGTTGCGCAAAAATAATAACAATTATAATTTAGAAATTTAAAGTTTGCTTTTGATAAAAATATGTTTTAGTTAAGAATAATTTTCATTTTGATTAAGTGTTACAATTATTTTGATTATGACCTGATATTAATTGCTTTTGATAAGAGATACAAAAGACTGATTATTTTATTCGTAAGTAGAAGTTTTTATTTTTGTTAAAGAAGTTAATTTTTTGTTATTTTTTTTCACTTTCTCTTTTTGAATAGTAATAAACCGAATTAATGTCAAATATTGTCTAAACTACTAATTACACTTTTCAATTAAAAAGAAGTTTTACGGCTTGCTACACTTTTTTTAGTTTATTTGTTGCATAAAGTGAATGAAGTCAGATTTTTTTGGCCTCAAAATGATTTAACTTGTATATTTTTTGATTAAAACTACTTTTACGGATTTTATCGCGTTTATTTTTACTTTTTATTTTTAATTCCCGACGTTTCGGGCGCTTTCCAGCACCCATGGTCACGGGGGACTGAGATGACTCATGTGCAATGTTCGCGTAAATATAAGAAATCATTGTATATTTTTTAACAAAATTTTGGTATTGTCATTAAAATCTCTATAGTCCAATATATAAATAGCGATAGCTAAAGTAGTCAATAGCATAATACATTTTTTTTAATTTTCAATCAAAGGTGACAAGGAGGAAGTGGTAAGCTTTAAACGCCATTTCCCACAAATTGATATTTTTGAGTTCCATCTTTTTTATTTTTAAGCAAGCGAAATGTTAGTTCAGCTAAATATGGCGGATGTACACATTGTTAAGTTATAAGACAATACAAATGTTCTCATTAATATATTTTTAGTCTCTTATGGCAGAAAATTTTCGGTTGTTTTAATCAGTTGATCCTTTAAAATTTATAGTTGCTCTTACCCTAACCGGACATTATATACTACATTTGAGAGTAATGTTTGCTTATATTATATAAATAAGTAACATAACATTTTAACACTTTTTATTCGATTACATATCCTTATTATGTATACTTCAAACTTGTTTTAATTTACGGAAAACATAGCTAATGCGTTTGTCGCTACATAAACACATTACCATGTAAATCTTAATAATGCTAGCTGATTTTAATTTTGAGATGTAGTCGTTTTGATTCAAAACAGGAAATATTATTAACTCGAAATTGTGTTTGAATAACAGATAAGTAAACTGTTACATTTTTAATTTGTTGAATTATAAATTGATAAACATTGTGTAATAGATAAGATTTCTAGTTCAAGCTTACCAAACAAACAATGATAAGAAGTGTGTATACATGCACGGACGCTTCCGGTATGTTTTCAATGTCTTTTAGCGCTGCCACAGCTGGCTCGAAATCTGGTCTCAAATCGAGCGCGTGTTTTAGATGTACTGCTGCTTCCTAGAAAAAGAAAATATATTTGTACGACCCAAAAAAAGGAAATAAGAAATCCGTGCGAATTTTAGAAAAGTTTTATTCCTTCATACTAACTAATTAACCCATATCATCAGCCTGTAAACATTTAAATACAACCAATGTAAAAGTTAAAGTTACACCCCTATATATACGTCCCACTGCTGGGCACAGGCCTCCTCTCATTTCGGAGAGGGTTTTAGGGCAAGGAAAAGTCCGCTGCACTGCCTCAATGCGTGTTGACGAACTTTACATGTCTTCGAAATTTATGAGTCGTGGTAGCTACGGGGCTAAGACCTCGCTGTAAATTTCACAGTACGCGTGCAACCCGGTGGAAAACATCGTGAAGAAGCCGACATGTCTGAGAAATTAAAAAAAATATATTTCGAAGACATTGCTTATCTTATCTCGAGTTACTCTTTTGTTAGTTAAATGCGAGTTTTCCTTGTGCTCAGCGATAAAAACATCGTACCATCGGAGAGGAAACCTGCATGTCTGTTTAAAACTTAAATTAAAAACATTTCAATAAAAACAGTTTGCCAATAAAACCGCGGATTTTCCCCTGCTTCAAGTCTCAAAACTATTATAGTATTTGCAGTTTTGTCCTTGACAATCAATTTGATTATACAATGTGTCACATTTGTCTGTATTATCACCTATCAACCCTGAGCTGTATACATGACCTGAGTAATAGTAGGTATATTTCAAGAATTTGTGAATTTGTTAAAATGGGGATTAGCAGCCTGTTGAATTATACTCCTTTACCGTCAATAATAGAAGCTATATGCGACAGAGAAAGAAGATAACCGTTATGATGACCGAAATTTACTCACTTGATAGTGTCCGTATGCTTTAAATATCTCGCCGAGTGTGAAATATTGCTGCCATGCATTGCGGTCCGGTGGTTGCACTTCCAAGGATCGCCGCGTCAGGTAGATGGCGTCGTCAAGGTATTGCAGCGTGAATAGTACTCGTGCTAGATTCAGTAGCACCTGATAATAATGTCTTTTGAAAAGGCTTGTATATTTTATTACTTACATAATATACATATTATACTTATTTAAACTTATTTTACAACATATTTACTTAAAAATACAGTACCTGGATGACCGAGCTTTACTCAGTTTTTTTTTTTTTTGGAAATCGTGTGTTTTGGAAATTATATTTAGATACAAATTACATACTGATGAAATATGAATAATATTTTTTGATCTTACCGACATAATAGAAAAAACTGAACTGGTTATTTGAATAAAAAATCATGACTGCAATTAGTTTAATTTAAATGTCCGTGTTTTCAAAAAAATACTAAAAAAAAGGCTCGAAATAATAGATTATCTCACAAAAGAACTTGAAAAAAAAATGAAATAAAGTAGGACCAAAGACAGGACCCGAACCAGATCTGGGCTATTATAATGATTAACGCATCGTCAAAATTTACCTTCTTATGCTTAGATATTAATAAGCAGTTTTTCATTGCCTGAAAACACAGATAAGACGACGTTTTCTAAAAATGAATCCTAGCTAGATCGAATTATTGCCCCCGAAACCCTCTGAACATTAAATGTTATGAAAATCGTTGGAGCCGTTTCTGAGACTACTTATATATATATACATTTATTTTTTATTATATTTTTTGTTTTATTTATATTAAAGGATTACATAAATTTCAAATATCACAAAACTGATTAGCATTATTTGTATATTTACAAATTTTGCAATACAAAATTATTGAACCCACCTCTGCGTTATACGGCGAAACTGCAAGTGCACGTCGAAAACATTCGATTGACTGACGAGTGTCGCCTTTAATTCGCCAGAAGTTTCCAATCTGGTTATAAAGTTGGACAGACTTTGGTTTCTCACGTTTAGCTTTTTTTAAACGTTTTTCTAACGCATTAATATCAAACTCGGTCACACCATTTTTATATGACTTTTTCTTAGTAAAAATGAGGGCAACCTGGGAATTCATTAATTCACATCAATATCAATTTGCATAATTTTTTTAGAAATTAATATATAGGCGCAGATTAGGCCGCACATGGAATAACGTTCCCATCTCTGGGCCGGGGCTCCCCAGTGCCAGCTCTTTCCATTTGATCGCATCCAGTGCAAAGCTGTTCGAATCGTCGGCGACCGAGCTCTTTTCGATCGGCTTGACTCACTGGTACTGCGAAGAGATTTTGCATCTTTTTACGTATTTTATCGCATCTACAACGGGGAGTGATGTGAGGAATTGTTCGGATTAATTCCAGCCACACAATTTCACCATCGCACATAGTGAAAAAACTCGCGATACCATTCATACCATCTGGATGACTGGTGGTCCATCATCGTGCGATTTAAAAGAAGTTTTCTTCCTCACATAACTTCCTTGTAGAATCGAATACCACCAGAGATTTTTCCGGACCTTTACTTGAAGGTCCTTACCTTAGGGACCTTCAAGAAAAGAGCATACTGTTTTTTAAAACGCCGGCAACGCATCTGCAATTCTCTGGTATTGCAGTGTTCATGGGCGGCGATAATCACTTACCATCAGGTGAGCCGTATGCTCGTTTGACCCCTCTCCTATAAAAAATTACATCTATAATGAACTTTGAATATTATCAATTTAATAACTGTTTTATATATGATAAGCATTTCATTACAGCCTATAAAAGTCCACTGCCGAATATATGCCTATCCCATAGATTGTCTCATAGGGAGGATTTCAATATAGGTGCTACGTATGACAGGCTGGTGGGCAGCTGTAGGTTTTTACTATTTTGAGTTGATACTTAAAAATGCTGCTGCCCATCTCCTATTTCAGTTTCCCTCTTATCGCCTGTCCTCATGGGATAATATGGGTTAGTGGATGTTCATACACCACCACCAAACAGTTAATAAATAATGTGATAAAAATATTATATTCATAATAGCAGAGGGGTTATCATTTGAGATCAAATTAATTAAAAATACAAAAAAGTTATAATTGATGGTTCGGTAACACAGTGGCTAAGCTTTTGGCTGCGGCACTGCAAGGCTGTGAGTTAGAATACTGCATGGAACAAGTGATACATAACTGTAATAAATAATTGATCCAGATCTAAATGTTCGGTCATTTGCAATTTATGCATGTATAAAAACATCTGCATGATACATCGTTTTTTTTTTTTAAGAAAGTAAGGAAACTTACTATTAGCATTAAGAGTAAATAACATTTTTAATAGTAAAAAGAACTCAACTTATATGTATCATATTGGTAATTTTACAGGAATTAAAGATAACTATAAATGTCATACCTGGGGCTCAGGTACATTAGGATGTCTATGTCGTCTTGCCACTCCAACAAGATTATCATAATATGTGAAGTTAACAGCTTTACCACAGTCCAAATACTCATCATCACTCTCCCCATTGGCTTCTGTTGGATTTGTTTCTTCACCATTTACAAAAGCAGGTCTAAAATGTTTCTAACACATTTAATGAACCCAACATAAATATTATGTATGCAAATTTAATGTAGTTTGGAACTTTAAAACATATTTAGTGTAGTTTATGATCATTAATGACTTTATTATGATTTTATCTTTTGTTAATTCTTTAACGAAAAAAAGAAAGTCAAGGCAAAAAAAAAAAAAAAAAAAGGCCCCCAGGGAAAAAAAAAAAACCAAAAAAAAAAAAAAAAAAAAAAAAAAAAAAAAAAAAAAAAAAATTTCTCACTTCTGATTCTAGTTAAATTGTAAAATGTGGATAACTATTAGTTGGCCCTATGTAACGAGATATTTTATAAGAAAATAATGTATCACAGAATGAATGTGTTGTTATTCCAACTAAAATAAAATAATATAGAACATTTATTTCGATAAATTCAATAAACGATGTCTCATACATTATTCATGATGAATTTTAAATTGGTACTTAAATATACAGTCACAATAAACTCATTAATGATCAAAAACTATACTACCTATATATATTTGAATTAGTTTGCCATAGAAAACCGATACGAAGGCGGTACTGAAAATTTCGGGAATCAAGGAAGTGACACCATACTATTAAAAATGTATTTATGATAACACCCAGGGCCCACCCCCCTTAGGAAAAACTCTTTTGTTCTGTGTGCGGTGTGAGAACTCGCATTGTCGTGATGGAGGATGATGCGGCGGTTGCAGTTCTCTTTACGGAGTTCAGAAACGACCATTGGCAAACAAATGCTAGCATACCATTTTGCATTAACCGTTCTTTGTCCCTCAAGAGGAATAGTCGTAACATGGCCGTTTTTGGAGACAAACGTGGCCACCATTGTTTTTGCAACACTCCGTGAACGAACAATTTTTGTTGGCTTTAACTCATTTTTGAACACCCAAACTCGTGACTGGTTTTTTGTTTCGGGTTCGTACGCGTATATCCAGGATTCGTCACCTGATACGATGTTGTATACAGCATTTGAGGATCCTGCGTGAAATCTTTCGAGAGTTCTGACGCACCAAGTAACGCGAGCCGCTTTTGCTTTCGCGGTATCCATCGGGAAAACAACTTTTTTACACCTAATTGTTCATGCAAGATTATTTGTATTTGACTCATGCCAATATCTAAAGTTGCCTGAATTTCGCGGTATGTCACATATCGATATTCCTCAATCAGCTTACGCACAGCATCATCGTTTTCTTGGGTGACCGCAGTTTTTGGACGACCTTGACGGGGATCATCACTGAGCTTGACACGTCCACGTTGAAATTCAGCAAACCAGCGATAAATTGTGGTTTTGGATGGGGCTTCATCACCAAATGCAGAAATCATCCGGTCAACACACTGTTTTTGTGTTAAACCACTTCGAAAGTCATAATAAATCATCGCTCTTGAATTTTCTCGAGTCAATTCCATTTTCTCAACGACTAAACAAGTTTGACAAAAACATTGTGACAAAACCGAAAATATTTTTTTAAATAAATAAATGGTATTCGATTTTTAAAACCGAGGAGTTTTCAATTAAAAAGATTTTAATATGACAGGAACAGTGGAAATATTCCATTCCCGATACTTTTAGTGCCGCACTAAGTACAGCCTAGAATGTATGCAATGTATGCAAATAACCCCTGAGCTTAATAGAAGATATTTATTTCAATATTACACAAAGACTCTTCAACTTCATATCTGTACAATTATACATATATTTAAGTAGTAAGTAGTAGCCTCATCTCTCGTCTAACAGCCATGAGATTAAGAGTGTGATCGGAGAGTTTTTGTGTTCTTCTGCGGCGGGTCTTGCAGAACTTAGCTCCGACCGCATGGACAGTTTCCACGCTTGTCATTCATATCATCCACTGCATTACAATCTTCTAGGCACTGAAAGCGTTTACATAGCTCGAGCTGAAAGGTTTCGGGATTCAGGATTCATGAGCTCAGACATCAGCACTAGGGGGACGGAGCGTTGACTTCATTAGACGAGACCCCTCCAACTTAACGTTTAGGTTCAGTGTGCCTCTAACCATTCGGTGATCGCTGCCAGTTTTCACCCTTACGATCACTGAGATATCACTGAACAGTTGGCGGCTGGTCGTCATAATGAAGTCAATCTCATTTTTTGTCGAACTTCGGGGCTCGACCAGGTCCACTTCCTGTGGGGCCGCTTCTGGAAGAAAGAGTTCATCATAAAGAATCCCTCTTTCTCCATAAAGTCGGCCAGCTGTTGGCCTCTACGGTTCCGTTGCCCTACTCCAAATTTCCCTAACTCCAGCTCACCGCTTTCTCTTGTGCCTATTTTTGCGTTTAAGTCTCCCATCAACACCGTGTAGTGGGTTTTGGAGAAATGCATGGCTCTAGAAATATCCTCATACATTTCCTCCACCTCCTCATCGGGATGTGCCGAGGTTGGTGCGTAAACCTGTATGACCTTCAGCGAATACCGTTTGGTGATTCTGAGGATCAGGTACGCGACCCTCGTCGACACACTCCCAATCTTTACAACATTGATAACGAGAGACTTGTGGACGATAAATCCGACACCTCCTTGGGACAGATGGTCGTCCTCCCGGTGATAGAACAAGTTGCCGGACTCGAGGATTACCGTGTCCTCCCCCTCTCTTCGAAGCTGAAGACTGAGTGTGGCAGCATCGTTTCCGGGACACCTGAGATTCTGAGTGAGATTGAGAGGTTCTATGGGCAGCTGTACACATCATCGTTGCAGCCACACGCAAGTGTGAGTAACGATCCAAGAGCAAGTCTTATCCGACACTATTCCGATGATATTACGGACGTCAGTCTGAGCGAGATTAGAATGGCTCTCCAGCACCTTAGAAACGGCAAATCCCCGGGCGAGGATAGAATTACAGCGGAGCTTCTGAAAGCGGGTGGAACACCTGTACTTGAAGTCCTTCAGAAGCTCTTTTATTCCGTCCTCCATGGTGGAACTACTCCGGAGGCGTGGAGCAGAAGTGCGGTGGTCTTGTTTCAGAAGTACAACGCCCAAACGACCCTTCTGAGCCGCGTCTACGTGCTGTTTTCGAGAGTCGTTACGAACCGTCTCGCACGCAGACTCGACGACTTCCAGCCTCCCGAACAAGCCGGTTTCCGAAAAGGCTTCAGTACCATAGACCACATACATACCCTTCGGCATATTGTAAAGAAGTCCGAAGAGTACAATCTGCCACTTTGCCTGGCGTATGTGGACTATGAGAAAGCCTTTGATTCCGTCGAAATTTGGGCGGTGCTACAGTCTCTTCAGCGGTGCCAAGTTGACTGTCGATATATCGAAGTGCTGAAGTGTTTGTACAGTAGGGCTACGATGGCTATCCGAGCACAGAACCAGAGTACGAAACCTATCCAACTGCAGAGAGGTGTAAGACAGGGTGACGTTATATCCCCGAAACTCTTCACTGCTGCATTGGAAGACGTTTTCAAGTTACTGGACTGGAAAGGATAAGGTATTAACATCAATGACGAGTACATCACCTTCGATTTGCCGACTAGTCCTTATGGCAGAATCGCTGGAGGACTTAAGCACTATGGTCAATGACCTCAATAGTGCCTCTCAACGGATAGGTCTTAAGATGAACATGGACAAAACAAAGATCATGTTTAATGTCCATGTCACACCTATACCCGTAGTTGTTGGGAGCACTAAGCTCGAAGTTGTTGACGAGTACGTTTACCTGGGACAAACAGTCCGATTAGGTAAGTCCAACTTCGACCGAGAGGTCAATCGACGGATTCAACTCGGCTGGGCAGCGTTCGGGAAATTACGACACATCTTCTCGTCAGGTATACCTCAAAACCTGAAAACTAAAGTGTACAACCAGTGCGTGTTGCCAGTGATGACCTACGGAACCGAGACGTGGTCCTTCACTGCTGGACGTATGAGGACGCTCAAAGTCGCTTAGCGAGCAATGGAGAGGGCTATGCTCGGGGTTTTTCTGCGTGATAAACTTATAAATGAGGATATCCGCAGTAGAACCAGAGTGACCGATATAGCCCAACGGATTAGTAAGCTGAAGTGGCAATGGCCCGGCCATATAGCTCGAAGAACCGACAACCGATGGGGAAAAAAGGTTCTCGAGTGGCAGCCTCGTACCGGTAGGCGAAGTGTAGGGCGACCCCCCACTAGATGGAGTGACGACCTGGTAAGACATGCAGGAAGTCGATGGATGCAGGTGGCTCAGGACCGTGCTTTGTGGCATACCTTGGGGGAGGCCTATGTTCAGCAGTGGACTTGTGAAGGGCTGTAATGATGATGATGATGATGAGTATGTAGTAAATTATCAAAATCATTACTCAAATTTAATCAATTAATATCAGTTACATCATTACCAAATATCTTTTAACAGTTTTCTGTTGACTAACACTAAATGTTAAATAACTCTGCAGTAAATATCAATACACTACGATATACACATATTTTCAATAATAATATAATGACAAACCAGTTAAAACTGTAATAGAATTTAATCCAAGAAGGATACAGTTGTGTTGACACCTCTGAGATCTAATATGGGTAATTTTATACTATCGCGGTCACCTCGTTTTTTGGCTTTAGAAAATCGAAAAATCATCCGATTTCGAAGATTTTTTTTAAAATCATCATTATTACGGCGAATTTATGAAAATAATAAAAAAAAAACAAGAAAAAAAATGAAATTTTATATTGGTTTCAAGTAATTAATAACTTTAAAAAAAATAATCGAATGAAGTTGTTATTTTATTTTATCGAAAAATCATCCCATTTCGAAGATTTTTTTTAAAATCATCATTATTACGGCGGATTTATGAAAATAATAAAAAAAAACAAGAAAAAAAATGAAATTTTATATTGGTTTCAAGTAATTAATAACTTTAAAAAAAAATAATCGAATGAAGTTGTTATTTTTTTTTTCATAATCTACACAAAAAAAAAAAAAAAATTTTAAATAAAAAAATGTTTGTTTATTAATTTTTTATTTTGGTTTTTATTGAGTGTAAGATCG